CATGTTGTGCAATGCCCGTGGAGGTCAGAAGAGGCTGTCAGATCTCCTGAGACTGGAGTTACAGACAACTGTTAGCTGCCATGTGGGTGCTGGGATTTGAACCAGGGTCTTCTGCAAGAACAACCAGCGTGCCTAACTGCTGAGCCATCTCTCCAGCCCCCACCTCCCTGTTTCTAAATAGTAACTTCTTGGTTTGGATTTGAAACATTTGACTTCTTATTAAAGCATTTATTGATTTATTCTGAACATACACATGTACTATGTGCCAGACCATGTTCTAAGAGATTTTCAAGTATTAACACATTTTAGTTTTATTAATATGTAGTCACTGATGACCTAAACAATTAGCTGTTTCAGTGAGAGAATGAGAGCAGAGGGACTAGACAGGAAACAGACAATTCTCTCAAGGAATTTTGTTCTAAAAGGGGGCATATAAATGGGATAAAGGGGATGTAGCTCAAAGCAAGGTTTGTCTTTTTAAATATACTTTTTGAATTTTTGTGTACTTCATATATAACATCTTAGTCCTCTTTATATACCCTTCCCTATTGGCACCATCCCATGCCCTCCCCCCTCCAAATGAATTTCATGCATGTTGTCATTTATGTCAAGGCCTATCTAGTCAAGTTAGTGTCCCCTGACATCCCTCAGTGAAAGTTCATCCACTGGGGTCCAGTAAGCCTATCTAGAGTCACTGTCTTTAAGACAGCTCTTCCTCACCTAGTAGTAAACAGCTAAGATTGAGGCCTGCTGCCACAGTTCTATGCTGGATTTTCGTCTGCTTGAGTTTGCATGAGTCTTGTGCATGCTGACACCATTGCTGTAAGTGCAGGTCCCAGGAGTCTGTAAGGCTGTTTTGCTTTTAAGTTTGGGAGCCAGTATATCATGTTGGCATGTTCTTGAGAGAGTGCCAGAAGAGAGGAGCAACAGAGACTCAGGAGAGAGGAGTTTACTATGGGAGCAATTTCACTGAGGTGGCATGAAGGCAGCAGAATGAGGCACCAAGAAGCACCTTCTCAATAAGGCATTCCTTGACATCCATCTGAAATCATCACACCTCCTTTCTCCCCTTCATCCTCCTCAACTGCTGTCCTTACTCCTTAGTATTTCCCATCAACCACAGTGCCAGATACGGCTTACACTGCTTATACTGCTTATTGAGTTTATCCCCTAAAACACGAACTTCAGGAAATCAGGGATCTTTGTCTAGTTTTTGTTGAATGTTGACTGATGTATCCCCAGTGTCTGTGGCAATGCTACAGTAAATACACCATGGAACAAAGTCAGCTGGACAAGCAGAGTGGCTCATCATAGGGAGGACCAACAGCTCATCCACAAGGAAAGACAGAATGCAGACTGCAGACCTCAGGTGCTACTGGTATGTCAAGGCTGCTGGGATTCTCTTCTGGCTTCCATTAGAAGGGTATAGAATTCTGGGTCAGAAATCATTTTCTCTGAGAAGTCTGAGATACTGCTTCACCATATTCTGGCTTCTAAATTTTAAAATCTCAGGCATCATTAATTCTTAACCTTTGTATAAGAACTACTTCTGGCATTGTTGCTTGTTATGTAGCCTTTAGCTATACATATGGACTCTTAAAAAATTATATTGGCCCCTTTAATCTTTGGTTATACTTTCCTTTAGGGTGTTTAAGGCCATACAGGTGGCCCAGATAAACCAATTTATTTTCACTCTTAAGGTCGTTTGAGGATCTGTTCCTCAGGGGTCACATGGGCTTGGGAGGAGCTCCTGGCTCCTTTCCTTTACCAGATGCATCTATATGAAGGTAAGTTAAAGGTCCTGCTAGACTGTGGCTGGTCTCACTTGGAAGCATGGAGGAAATGTTTCCTCTGTGTTGACCCTCCTCTTTGTAGACTGGACAATGGTTCAAGTCCATTTGGTAGAGTCTCCAAGGCCCTAGATAGGCTGACTAGATTCACCAGATGGACAAGTAGTGGGGAATGGCTGGGGGTGCCGACAACACAGCGAACAGTAGCAGGGATATTAGTTGCCTTCATTGCGAGTGCCCTTCTGATGAGTGTGGGGTTGGAGTTTTCATGGCCAGCCACTTTGACAGACATTACTGTGGCAAGTGCTGTCTGACTTACTGCTTCAACAAACCAGAAGATAAATAATAGAGTATGAGTTAATAAAAACATAGGAACTGGAAAAAAAAAAAAAAAAGAACTACTTCTTCATCATTATCCCTTGGGCTTGGTGTCTTTTTGTGGTTACAAATTTTTTTTTTGAAACAGATATACATACAAAAATAAATATAGGGGCTGGAGAGATGGCTCAGCGGTTAAGAGCACTGACTGCTCTTGCCGAGGACCCAGGTCAATTCCCAGCACCCACATGGCGGCTACAAACCGTCCTTAACTCCAGTTCCAGGGGAAATCGAAGTCCTCTTCTGATCTCCGCAGCATTGCATGACACGGATGCACTCACATACACACAGGCAATACACTCATACACATAAAATTAAAAAAAAATTTTTTTAATAAAAATAAATATATAATATAACTTTTAAAGAAAAAAGATTCTAAACTTCAGGTAAAAGGCTTCAAGGTTAGTTCCTGCTCCATTGCTCCAAGTCTTGTGTCTGAAGTATGTCCTGTCTTCAGCAGTAGGGTCTTTCCAATTTCCTCGCTCCTGGTGTTACATCAGGATATATATTTACATAGAAGGGATTGGTTTACAATCCACAAATAAGGGAGAACATGTGTCACTTGCTTTTCTGTGTTTGTTACTTCGCTTAGTAGTTGCATTTTGAGAATATAGGCAGGCTGGTGACACACTAAGGCCTAATAACCATAATGACCAGCACAGCAAACTACCTCAATTGGTGCAGTAGTGGTACTGTTATCTAGGGGTATTCAGCAACTATCTAACTGGACTTTAAGCCCTCTTAATAGGCGTGAACTCCTGAGTGGTACTGTAAATACAGCCAAATACACACGATTGGAGAGGTCATAGATCCTAGAGAAAACCTTATCTCTGTCATATATCTAGACAAATGAAATTTCTTACCATATGCTAAATATGGATCCTTATATTTACAGACAAGTATACCGAACACCACTCACCAAAGAAGCTTCTTTTTGCAACAGATGGAGGCTACTACAGAGTTCCACAACTAGTCAGACACAGAGAATATATGAGAGATGCCCAGTCCCAGGTAACATACCTACAGTGGAACCTCTACACCTAAGACTCATGGAACATAGTGGAACGGGGTGGAGAGAAAACTAGTGCATCCCTCAACTCTCACCAATGAAGCTTCCTTATACAACAGAGTGCCATGCACAGAAGGCCACAATTGGCCAAAGGTTTAAAGAATGAGAGACTGCAGAGTGTGTGTCCTTGGATAGGGCTCCTATATCAAACCTCTCCCACCCACAGCTTAGGGACCAATGTGGAAGAGGGGGCAGAAAGATTTAAGAGCCAGGGATGGTCCACGAACATAGGGAAGCAGATGCTTTCAGGCCACTGGAAGCTTGCACATGTGAACTTGTGGCATCAAGCACAGAACCCAACTTAGTTATGAGTTTAAAAGACCTTATCCCAAAAAGAAAAACAAACAAATTTTTAAAAAGGTAGACAGTGCCTGAGAAATACAAGGTTGTTCTCTAGCCTACACCCCCCCCCCGAGGAATGTGAACACATATACACGCATGCACGCACAAAAAGGGATAATCAGTGAAATGGATAAATATGTGATAAAGCAATTTTAGCAAATTACTACTGGCATACTAAATGAAAGTCTATCAATTATTTATTATAAAGTGATTTCAACTTTCTATAATGCTTGAGAATTTTCACAATAAAATTATTAACCATACTTATCTGGTAGAAAACCTAAAATACAATTAAGAAAATCATTTACATTAAACATATAGCAAAAATTATTAATAGCACAATACACAAAGAGCTCATTATAATTTATAAGAAAAACACCAAGCTGGGCATAGTGGCCCACACTTGAATCCCAGAACTTGGGAAGTTGAGGTAGGCAGGTTGCCAAATTTGAATTAGAAGCCAGCCTAGGCTACACAGTGAGTTCAAGACCAGCCTGAATTATAAAGCCAAAATTCTATCTAAAAAATCCAGGATAGCTGGGTCTACAGGGAGACCCTGACTCAAAAAGACAAAAAAAAAAAAAAAAAGCAAAAAGGCAAAAAAAGTGGGGGTTGGAAAGATGATGGCTCAGTGGGTAAAGCATGTGTCATACAAGCATGAGGATCAGAATTCAGATCCCCAGAACCCACATGAAAAAGCTGAATGGGCCTGGTGGCATCCCTATAATCCTTAGAACAAGCTGGTTAATCAAACTAGCTGAAACAGTGAGCTCCAGGTTTACTTAACAAGAGACCATGTCCCAGTATGTAAGGTGGAGAGTGACTAAAGCTAGAAACACACAAACACGCACAATCGCAAGGCTGAGGTGAAGGTGTTCACTAATATACAGCTGGTAGCCTCCTTGTATACAGGCCCAGCCTGCTGGGGAAGCTATCTGTCAGTCCCCAATTCCTTGTGCTTATCTAGTCCTTTGACCTGGAGGCCCCACCGCTCAGAATAAGAACTGTATCAATCAAAAGAAGCTCAAAAAATGTTCACTGCAGTATTATCTACTAGAGGATTAATCAATGAACAACCTAAGTGACCATCAAGAGAAAACTGGTAAATCATGACTATCACGACAATGGAATTCAGTGGAGACATTTAAAAAATGACAAAAATAAGGTTGTGTGGAAATAGGCACAATGTTCATAATGCACAATCAAAAGGAAAACTATTTATAATTGATTATGAGACTGTAAGAATAAATGAAATGGGCTTTGACACTGTAAAGGAATGTGAATAATAAATGAAAATGATGTATTACCATATGAGGGAAATGTGGCTGATTCATTTTCCTAAAATTTTCTTTAATCTTGCCGGTGCATCTTTCAATTAAAATTAAATCACTGAAAAGGAGGTCTCAGGATGGTCTACTTACAGTGCTGAGCTTGCTGCAGATGATGAGGATCCGGCGTTCATACAGCATGCTGGCGTACAGATGCAACATGTTGTTTACATCCACAGCCACAAAATATTCTGTCAGATTTCTCTAGGAGAAAGAAGAAAGCAAGGCTTGTGGTTTATTTTGTTTGTTCTTATTACGAATAGTATCTCATAAAAGCATGAGAAGCAGAAAGTAATCAGAAAGCATACTCTCTTCTTCTCCTGACCCACTCTTTCTACCTAGGAGACCAAGCCCCACTCATACATGAAATCATGAAATGCAAAGTTCAAAGGGGCCTTGGAGATGAACAGCCTCAGCAACTGCATCTGCATGTGGTGATTATGGGTTCCAACATGAGGTCGTACACAGCGCTGTGGTTGCTTTTCATGTGGGTCCACAAGATGAGCAGCACAGGAACTCTGCCATCTCCCAAATGAGAAACCAAGGCTGAGACAGATCCTCCAAGATCAAATGGTCTAATGAACAATGAAGACAGGACTCTGCTCAGATCTTCCGACCCAGGTCCTAGAACTTTTTTGATGTGCCATGTATCTTAGCAAAAGAAAGTACCCATCCTTCTGGAAGGGCCTGTTTCTAAACCCAGCAGATCCTAGCTATGAAGACTGGGCATGAACCTGTTCTGTCCTCCTCACTGCTGGTGTCCACAGCATGCATACTCCACAATTGCCCAGCTAGAATTAAAGCAATTTCAAAGGTTTAAAATTTCCAGGTATTTCACTCAAAATGGGGGGGGGGGCGGTTTGGAGACAAACAGCAGCAAATTGTGACAAAGCACTGTTTTAACCAGCTTTTTCTTCTTTCAACCTGGGTTTCATTCCTTAATTAGTACTACAGATTAGTACTCTTCAGATTTCAGGGAAAAAATGGAATGTGTTTCATTTCTATAACTCTTTCTATATTCCCTGACCTTAATAATACACATGAATATGCTAATTTCTTCAATGCTGTATAATAAAGTGCTCAGTAAATGAAAGGGGTGGGAAGGGAAGGAATGCCATTGCCAGGGATGGCAGTTTACCACGATTAAAGATCTATAACCCATAATTGAAGTAAACCAGGTAGATTTTATATGCAAAATAGCATAAAGTGCTTTTCAACAATATTATCATTGGGAATAAGAATAGGCACTTATGATTTATTATTGTTTGACCAAAGTATTAGGTCAACCACCCAACTTTACAAATAAAGAGCAAGTGAACTGATAGCTCTATACATTGACTACTTAACAAGCACCAGGCACTGCACCAGACACTGTGCATATGGAACCTCAGAAAAATCCAATGCAGTGTTATTCTTTCTAATGTAGAGAAGAAGGAATTAATTCAGAGATTCAGCAACTGGTAGAGTCAGGTTTGACACCACAGGCTACACAGCTCCCCTACCCTGCACTGTCACTCTAAGTGCCTCTCAGTATCTGCCATGTATGAGACTTTATGCAGGTCACTTTGCTTAACCTCACAGGCACTCCCTGAACTAGATGTCACTATCTATTTAAAGATGTAAAACAGAGGCACAGAGATGTGATACAATGTGACAAAAGTCACATGATAACAGAAGACTCAGTCTACGGCTTTTTAAAACAACACCCTAAAGTATAAGTATAAGCATATTCAGGAAAAAAAAAAAAGGATTGAGTGTAGGGGTAAAACAGGAAGAATGTGTGTATAAAGAAGGGGTATTTTTACTTTTAAAAATTATTACCTCATTTATTGAAGAATCCTCACATGTCCATCTGTGAGTGCTTGATCTGTGTTCTTTCTAATCTTCCTAATTACCTTTAGATAGGCATTGCCATTTCCGAATCTATCGATGAAGAAACTGAGGCTTGGAAAGGCTCAGTTGTCTTCTAAAGGCTACTCAGGTAGAAAGGACAGAGCCAAGTTTCTCAACCACGTCTCTTGAATCCAAAACTCACCGGATAACCACCATATCAGCTTGCCTCCTAAAAAACTCCATGAAAAAACAAAACAAGCACTAGAGGCAAAGAGAACTAGACAAGAAGCATATCTTTGCCCAGTGGACTGAGGAGCGCTGAGTTAATGATGTCAGGGTAGGGTTTGTTCTGGAGACAGTGACACGGCAGAGCAGTTCTCACAAACAAAAATACAAGGCCCTCAGCTGAGCATTTCAGTGAAAGCTTAACTGCTGATGAATTATATGAAATTTTCTTTTAGAAGAGGATGGAAGTAAAAAGAAAATAGAAATGAGGAGCTTAAAGAAGGCCAGAAAGCCCATTAGCACTTTTGACAGATCCAAAGATAACTCTGAAGCCACCAAAACGTGGCCTCAAGAGTCTGCCAAGAAGCTTCACGCTGGGGAGAAATATGTTACACAGCTTGCCGTCCAAATAGGGAGACACAGCGTCAGAGACAAATCCTGTGCCTTATTTTGGTGGGAGAAAAAAAAAAAAATTACAAGGATACTTTTGTGGATGGGGAAGGGAATGCTTCTGAAATAAAAACACCACTGACTGAGGCAGCCCCCCATCACCAGTTAAGATCTGACGGACTCAGGTGCCTGATCCAAAAACCCTACACAGGTATGTTAAAAATATGTAACATTTAGCCAAATTCTTTCTAAACTGTCATGTACTTTTTTTGGTATTTCTCATCCCATCTGTGCTGATTACCAAGATATTTGTGTCTAAACAGAAGCTGTCTTTCTTATCTGCTTCCTCCCCTGCCTCTTTCCTTCTGGGATACCACCCGCCAGAGTGGGTAGGACTGCCAACGGCCTCAGCCCAGGAACTTCTCGGCTGGGGGAGCACCTGCAGGGCGGAGGGGGGGGCCCTGGCACATTTACAGTTCCCACCAAGTTTGGGCTCAGAGAAAGCCCCCTGGAGACCGGGATCTCCCTCCTATTGCTATTAAGCACCCAGTAGCTTGAGCCATGGCAAAACTCAATTTCTCAGACTTGCCCTTTCTACCCCCAGGCCTTTACTTTTGTAGTTTCCTCTTCCCAGAATATTCTCCTCTGCACTAAAGATGCTCATCCACTCGACAGGACCCAGTCCCAGTGTCACCTCCTCCTGGAAGCTTTCCTAACACCCTTCGTGTTTCCATGGCAATTTGTCTCTATCTTATAGTAACTCCATTTTAGGTATTTTTTTCCCACTAAGCTGAGTCCCTTTGGGTAAATTACATATCCCAACATTAAGCAATTTGATGAAAGAATGAAATCTATGTGTGGTGGAAACAAGTGACTGAAGACTACCATCCCTTGGCTCTGGCATGTGTGGGACACAGGAGGAGAGCAGACTAGCAGAGGGGCAGTGTGGTGTAACAGTAGGAACACAGCAACTGACAGAAAACCTGGCTCTGAGACAGGCCCACGGTAAACAGTGACACTGGGGATTGAGGAGAATCAGGTAAAAGAACAGGTGTGAGGGCTAGGAAAGGAGCTAAGAAGGGAGCTAAGAAGGAGGCTTTTCAAGGTATCTATGGCTACACTGATGAAAAGGGTAAAGCAATAGAGAGTCTGTCCTCTGGGACTGGCAGGCAAGGGGAGTGCACCCAAAACCAGGTGTTCATTTCACAAAGGTCCACCCTATTTCTCCTATGGGTAAGATGAGAACACAGAAGAACAAGGGGGCCTCTGTAGCAACCTGTCCTCTGTAGTCAGGACACATTTCAAACTTGTACTTATAAAACATGCAGGAAGCGCCACCCTCTCCCAGGACTTTCCCTTAGAGGACTAAGTCCTTGATTGCCCATCTCTACTTCCCTTAGCCAGGTGATCAACACAAATTCAACTCTTCTATGTGCCAAACATCACCCTGAGAGTTAGGTCTGTGGAGATAAGCCAGGGCACTATTTTATGAGTTGCATCTGGGAGCGGGAGAAGCATCAGCTCCCCAAAGCCAGAATGCAAAGCTGACTCTGCTGGACAGACAGGCAGAAGGCCTGAGAGCACTCACAGAACCGGAAATGTGCAGTCTGTACCTCCCAACAGGGGTTTACTAGTTGGCAAGGTGGGCAGGGGAGAAGCATATGCAGGGACAGAGGCAGGGAGGGGAGAGAAGCAACAAGCAGGTGAGTAGAGGAAGGGGTGGAGTGCAGGGAAGAGGGAGTGGGACAAGAGAACAAGGTTTCAGTTCTGGAGAGCCAGACTGCCGCCCCCCACCTCCCCCGCCAAGTAACAGGGAGCTTGGGGATCAAGACAGGATCCCATTTGTTTCAAAAAGATCTCCCTAATGCCCATGGAAGACGGACAAGAGTGGGTGAACAGGAGGTGGGGGGATCACTTAACCATTATTGCCATATTCCAGGAAAAGATCAAAATGCGTAAGGAAACAATCAATTCAGAAGAAAGCTTTAGATATACACATGAAAGAGCCCCTTAATCACAAGACTTGACAATGAATTAGACTTGGAGACAGGAGGAAGAAAGGCTCTAAGACCTCCACACTTACAAGGTGTAATATACCACATTTTGCATTTGCCCAAATAGAGTTGCAGAGTGTCTATTCATTTACCAGCGTCAACCCTCCTAAGCAACCATTATTCCCATCAAACAGTGTTTCTGCTACTTATTCCTCAGCCTCATGTCCCAGACCACTGCAAAACCACCACAGCTGCTGAAGTACCCACCCCTTCATTCCCTGCCAGTTACTTCTTGGTAATATACCTTCTGAGAAAGGCAAACCCTGCTCAGCGGACCATTTCCCAGGCTCTGTGCTCAGGCCATAGCTTACTTAGAGCCAGTGTGTTTCTCAGCTTAAGGACACTCTTTTCCTGCCTGGACTTTATTATGTACTCCCTACCTCACTCATTTCCCACAGGGCTGGATCAGGGTAGGAAGCTGCCCTGTCTGGCCAGAACTCAAATGCAAGGAGGACTCTGGGCAGCGCAGCTTGGAAGGTGAATTTCAGAGGAGGCACATGCTGCATCGACTCCTTCAACTCTGTTTCTCATCTCTACAAAAAGATGTGAGGTTCTCACCCAGCAAGAACCCCTCTGTGACTCTCAGCCCAGACAAAGAGGGGATAACACCTGGCAAAACCCTAGGCCCCCTAGGAGAGGCCTCCTAATAGCTGTGCTTTCCGAGCCTCCCCTGCTGGCTCTGGTGCCAATCCAGGTGGCTGG